GCTTCACGGCACCTTTTACGACAGTCGCGCTTTACGGCAGTTTTACGACAGTCGCGCTTTACGGCCCCTTTTACGACAGTCGCGCTTTACGGCCGCTTTTACGACAGTCGCGCTTTACGGCCCCTTTTACGACAGTCGCGCTTTACGGCACCTTTTACTACATTCGCGCTTTACGGCACCTTTTATGACAGTGCTGCTTTACGGCACCTTTTACGACAGTGCTGCTTTACGGCAGTTTTACGACAGTCGCGCTTTACGGCCGCTTTTACAACAGTCGCGCTTTACGGCCGCTTTTACGACAGTCGCGCTTTACGGCACCTTTTACGACAGTGCTGCTTTACGGCAGCTTTTACGACAGTGCTGCTTTACGGCAGTTTTACGGCAGTCGCGCTTTACGGCAGCTTTTACGACAGTGCTGCTTTACGGCAGTTTTTACGACAGTCGCGCTTTACGGCACCTTTTATGACAGTCGCGCTTTACGGCAGCTTTTACGACAGTGCTGCTTTATGGCCGATTTTACAACAGTGCTGCTTTACGGCAGTTTTACGACAGTCGCGCTTTACGGCACCTTTTACAAGAGTCGCGCTTTACAGCAGTTTTACAACAGTTGAAATAGCCCAGGTTTGGGTTGGTGCTGAGCACAGGGCAGTGAGGAGAAAGGGAGAAGGCTGTGCTGCAGGGCAGGTGGATGTAGGCAGAACCAATTTGGGCAGCAGCCTTGTCTAACAGCATTTCATTTTCCAGTTCTACTACCTTGCATTTCATTTTGCACTTCTGCTAGAACTGCATGTCAACAGGTTTCGAATATCCTCAGTCCCAGTAGCCTGCTTGAATGTGCTGTGTCTTTATCAGACCATTGATGGTCCTTCTGAAATGTGAGTCTCACTGGCTGGTTTGAGACAAAGATGAGTTTGGTGGGTCAATTTTACTTTGAGAACTTGAGAAGCACAGGAAGCCCAAGTGATGGTCCCAGAGGGTTGAACACAGAGGTTTCACCCTCCCAGATATTCAAGGCCTTAACCTTAAAACCACTGCTCTCAGCACGGAGCTGTCTCAATGCTGCATTTATGTTTTCTCCTCCTTGTGCATGTGTAGAATTGAAATCCTCTTGGGGAGGAAGCTTATTCCAAGTAAATTCCTAAAGAATCAGCTGAAAAAAACCACTGAAATGTTCTTTCACTTGGTTTGCTACTCCCTGCCAAATGCATGTGCATGCCAGGTCTTGAGCCTGGGACTGGAGCTGAGCCTTGAAGGAGGAATTGAAACAATGGATACAAGTGCAAGTATGGATACAAATGCAAGTAATAACACAATATACATATACAAACAAGTAGAAGTCCAATTCACATAGAGGGAATGCATCAAAACGCAGCAGCAATTGCAAATTCAGAACAATACAAGCCAAATACATATGAACACAATATTACCATTTTTCTATTTCTGAAAAGTTGATTACACCTTGCTTTATTGCTACAGGAGACCACAATATAAGCCAAAATAGGTACACACAGTATAAGCACACACTGTAAGCCAGCATAATTACATGCAATATAAGTACATACAATACAAGCCAACATAGGTACATACAATATAAGCCAACATTTAAGGAAAGAACATAAAAAATTAGGGGTACCCATTGCAAGCATATGTATAAGCTGTCTTTATTTAAAGATCCGCTTTAATTGACATTTTGTGGAACCACTCTGAGGGCAAGGTCCAAAAAGCTTCGTTAACCCCTTGTCCTCCACTGGTTGGGCAGCATCTGACCCCAATGCTCAAGGGCTGCATGGAGATTCCTCCCTGGAGTGGGCTCACTCCTTGAGGATGAGCCATAAGGATTTGATTGTTGGACCGGTTGAGTAAGTATTTCTACTTAGTAATTGTTTTTGCTGGCTTTAATGCCGTGGCTGCAGTGTTCCTTCAGATGTCATGCCCTGCTCCAGCAGTTACAGCTCCTGTGCTGGGCAGGGAATGCTTCTGGGGAAGGGCTTTCAGTCTCATTAGTTCCCATTTAAATCAATCAAGCTATATCTAAGTACCGGTGGCCAAAGGTTTTACCACTTGCCTCTGATTCATCTGGCATTGGCCAGAGGTTTGTGGGAGCTGGTGGACTGTTCTACTCCTCATTATTTCCCAAACAGAATTTGGCTAACTAGAAGAGGCACAGATGATGCCTGCAATTTTGTGACATGAAGAAACAGCCTGTCACTGGAGAGTCCCAGACCTTTGCTTCCTCAGCCTCTGCAGGTCTGGCACATGGAAAACCCAGAGGCACTGAATTATCCCACTCAAGCAGCCAAATGTTAACAACCTCTCCAAAGCCTAATTTCCCTTTGATATAGACTTACTTGTTTGCGTCACCTACTGGGCTGGGGGAGGGCTATAAAATGGCTTGCAACAATTGTCGGAGGCAGAAGAGAGTCCAGGAACAGCTCCCTCTACCAGTATCCCTATCTCAGCACTAGTGACAAGCTGAGCATCATGCAGCTGGTGGCCAGCCTGGTGTCCGTGCTGCTGCTGGCGTGGAGTGTGAGAGCCACGACGCTGCCCGGGGAAGAGAGACTGCAGAGCACCAGGGTGAGTACAACATGCCCTGGGTAGGAGCAGGATAGAGGCAAGGAAAGGGACATAAGGGCAAGTAGACTGGACCAAATGCAACTCTTCCATCCCTCTATATTCCAAGGCTTTACAGTTTGATGTGCTGCAAAGCCCCGGGCTGTTACTATGGCTTGCTGGCCAGCTGATTTAGGAAAGGTACCAGGACAGACGCCAGAGAGCTGGAATATGTGAAGCCTGAGCTAAGTGAAAACTGGCACAAAGGAGATCGGAGGGAAAAGGAGAAAACCTTATTGAAAGGGTACAGCATGAGAGAATAAAGCAAAGTACTAGGGAGGGCAGGAAAAGATATATAATTGATAAAATGATCAAGGAAGGTGATATTTTAAATAGAATTTGTGGGAAGGACAAACATTTAAAAGATAGGAAAGTGACAGAGAAATCATAAATGAAGAAATTGCATCAAAATAAAATTGTGTTTTCTGGAGTAGTAAGTATTCACAGGAGGAATTATATTGACATAGTTCCACTAGGATAATTATGCTCTGAGCCAGCATAGCTCAATGCAGTGGCAGAACTTACAGCAGTCTAATTATCTTACCAATTGGCAAAATCCTAATATTATAATGGCTAGAGCACTCCAATAACTTTGCTTCCTGTGCTATTTCCCTAAGAGGCCAAAGGGATAGGGAATCAAACATAACCAAACAAGCCCTGTTTTGCTTGCCCTTGCCCTGCAGTCCTCTCACCTGCATATTCCTGATGTGCCTCTGAGCTCTGGTTAGTGCCACACCTGGCTGGATCCATAGTGAGGGATGCCAGTGGTGGTTTCACAGGCACTAACTTCTCCTTTGTGCACATCCACATTGGTTTTTTGGTCTTAGTGTTGGCTCCAGCTCATCCACCGGTGTGTTAGTACTTCAGGAGCAGGCTCACATCCCATTAATGACCAAACTGGCTGCAAGACAGAACCATACACAGTGTGAAGTGTTGACGTTCTGTCAGAGATTAGAGCTCCTGCAGCTGCCTGGGATTAACCATTCTGGGTATAACTGGAAATTTTCAGCTCTACATCCTTACAATAACCAGTGCAGTACTTAAAAAGTGAACTAATTTCTCTTAAAAAACAAATTCCTGGTGCAAATCCTAGCTGCTGGGGAAAAAAAGAAACAAGTTATAGGGGATAAATTGATAAAAAAGTATTCAGTAAAAATTAATTCAAGTGTAATGGCTCTTAGTCTTTTACACACTGTTGCTCACAAGATATTGGTATCATTAAAGAGAGTCATTATTATAGAGCATTCTGCAAACTGGAGAGTTCATGGATGCTGATGAACCATGAGCACAAACTGGTTTGCCTGTCTTTTCTTCTGCCAGAGATATAGTGTGGATTTTTTCTGTTCCTTGGTTTCTTTTGTGTGGTAGCAGGGGTAATTACTGGAGCTAAGAAGGTGATTAAAAATATCCATAAACCTTCTGTAAAGTGAACTCAAGACAATTGCTCTGCCTGTATTCGCCCATCTTTTGAGTTGCTCACGAGGTGGTCCTTAGCAAATGCTAAGTACGTGTGGGCATTTGTGAGGGACGATGTGGAAACTTGTTTCCAAGATTCCCATCTGCATGGGAAATAGATGGTTTGACAGGAACAGATCCTATCTCAGCTAGGCCAGTACCAGCTGTCTCTGCTAATGAGTCACAGAGACCAGGAATGCTCAGGCAAGAGGTAATTTCTCAGATTTGTTGGATGTAAAATTAAGAGAAACACAGTAACTTGTAGCTTGTACCTGTGGAATTCCCTCAAGCTCCAAATCACAGGCTCTGTTCTTCTGTGGGATGATTAAGCAATGGGATGGAGCTCAAAAGCTCTTTTTCCATCCCACTTTCCCCCAAGGTCAGGCTATTATGGCATTACACAGTACAGCTGCCTGTCTCCACCAATGCAACATTTTGTTTCAGATATTTGGGGTGTCCCTCTCCCCATCAACCCAGCCCTCTCCTTGTTGCTCTTCATTCTCGGCATTTTACTGTGGGGTAAAATAATTTACTGTTGCCTAGAGAATTGTGCCTCCTCCCTGACTTTCCCAAGGCAGAGGCCAGAGCAGCAAAGAGGCAGTTTGGCATACACTGAAATTTAATTAGTGCTGCAGTGAGAGCCTTCACAGCAATTCAAGCTTATTTGTTAGCAGCTCTTTTCCAGCTCTAACATGGCACATGGAGGCCCAACTGGCTGAGCTGGATAGGGATGGGAGACAGCAGTGGCCTCTGCAGCCACAGATCCCTGAGCTCCAGCACGGCTCTGCCATCTCTTGGCTCTGAGATGCGGCAGGGGAATAAGAAGGCGCCCCATGGGCTACGTTTGCATGCTCTGAATCTCGACAGCCATGGGGGACAAGCCTTCCATCCCTCACTTTGCCTGCTCTCTGCCTGCAGGAACGGAGTACCGTCCACAAGGACGTCATTCTGAAGATGCTGGCAGGGCTGCTGGACGGCGTGGACGCGGGCAGCGAGGCAGCCTTGCCGGATGGGGAGGAGGAGGAGGGCAAGCTGCAGGAGGAGCGGGCAGCGCTGGGGCGGCTTGCCCAGCTCCCGCAGCGAGACCGCAAGGCGCCCTGCAAGAATTTCTTCTGGAAAACCTTCACCTCCTGCTAGTGCTGCCCGGCCTGGCCTTGCCAGCCTGCAAACACCTTCCCACAACTCATCTTCCTTGCCCGCCCAGCTCGTTCTCTGTGCCCTGCACGCCTCAGAATAAAGCATAGCGCCTCGGGGACGTGTCTGTGCTTCTCTGTGGGGCAGCCGTGCTGGGGGGATGGGACACACACGTTTTCTGGAGCAGCCCTGGGGGACCATGGCCATTTTGGGAAAGGGTTTGCAGGTGTGAGGGGAGCCACGCGGAGGAGGCACAGCCGTCTCTAAAGCTGCTGCAGCTGCCTCCTCAGCCTTTGAGGGACCAGATGGGTGTGCAGTGAAGTGCTGGTTCCTCGTGGGGAGGATCCTCAGTGTCAGCCCCTGGTCAGGATAAGGTGCCATGCCCCAGTGGGGAGAGGATGGTTTGATTCTGGGCATGGGAGAGAGCAGCACCCCCTGCTCCTTCCCGCGCTGGCTTAGTGAAGCACCCAGGCAGTGCTGTACAGATGTGGGGTGCAGGAGCAGCATCTGGGGAGAGGGAGACATGCCCAGACTTGACCTACTTTTGGTTTGCCAGCAGGCAATTCCAGAGAAGCTCCTGGGGTGCTTTTGGGTTGCATCTAAAACCAAAACAATTCTATAAATTGGCCATAACCCTGGGTTGAACAGCTGTGACTCTGCTCTGGTTCACTCATGGTTTTTTGGCGTCTTCTCAACTTGATTAAACAAGCCCAAAACCAAACTGCCTGGGTTTTCTTACCTACCCTCTTAGGTGCCATTTGCTGCCTGGAGAGTAGCAGAGCATGTAGTTTTATTTCTTTGGGATTATTGAGGAGGTCTTTGAACTGTTTGTTTTTAGAAGTAACAGGTAGTAAAAAGATACGGACAGTAGACACTTCACAGGTATTTCCCTCTGAAGAAGGCTGCTGAATCTCTCATACTGGCCAAACAAAAAGGTATGAAATTTAGTCACTCTTTTGCTTCATGTTCAACTAGGAACTTGAATTTCAGAGCTGTATTACCCTGCTGTGAATGGCTGTACAAAATAGGAGGCTTCAACTGTATATCACTGATCCTGTCCCCAGACCTGATGAGAACTGAAGGCAGCTATTTTTAATGGCTTCATTCTGAGCCTTTACATTTTGCTTTTGGAGGTTGGTGACCAGGAGGGGTCACTCCTGTCAACAGCAGCATTTTGGATTAATCAGCAAACCAGCCAGTTTTGTGGCAGTTGAGGTAATGGTCAAGAAATTGTGCAGTAAAAACAAGAAACTCCTGAGTACATGGATGTAGGGATTGCCCCAGACAGAGCCTGCTGGTTCAGCAGATTGTGAGCTGGATTATTTAGTGGTTCCCACAGGAGAGAGGAACCTGGCTGCTCTCAAGGCTGGAAGCAAATTTGAAAGTTGAGCTGCTCTTGCATCCCCACAGGTGGCTCCTGCTGCCCTAGGCTGGGGCACTGGCTGAGCACCAAGGGGAAGTGTGAGTTGCCAGTGCACCTGCTGTGGACAGGGGCCAGCACCATGGGGATGGCTTCTTTTATCAGCTCTGAAATCAGTGTTTGAGCTGGATCTGACTGTGCAGTCTCCTTGCTAAGTCAATGTGCTGAGACTGAAGCGATGCGAGGTCCTGCCTGATGGTAGCAATTAGTGAGTGTGTCAGGATAAATCAGATTCAGTGTGAGTGACTTATTCTCCATTTTCACAAAAAATTTGAGTTTTCACAAAAGAATTGTGAGACTTATAATGGCATTTGACAAGTTAGAAGGGAGTGAGAGCCTGCTATTTCTTTTTTAGATGCAGTAGCCAATGTACTTAAGAGTCTCTGCTCAGAATAATGTGTCTTGCTCTTTGAGAGAGAGCAAATACCCATAAGTTATCTCTGGGTTTTTTAGAAAGTGAAAAAGATTTAAAAGTTTGACAGAAGGCATAGAAAGCTCATAGAAAGTCTCAGAGGAAGCGTTTGGAAGGTGAAGGAAATATCAACAATTCAAATGCTTATCTTCCACCTCCCCAGAGAGTGTCATAGTCCTGAGCAGTTGTTAAGCCTTTAATGTTTAAGAAAAAAAAGGGAAGTTTATTTTCTGACTCCAACATTTATAGTTTTCTAAAAGTGACAGTGGATTGGAGGGTGACAGTGACACCTCTCCAATGACACTGGTTAAACTAACAGTTTATCAATTATCTCCTCTTCTATAAAAGGATACAAAACAATGGGTTATTTACAGAAAGTGTGTGAAAAAGTTCACTACAAGAACATCAGAAAGCTTAGAAAAATCTTAAAAAACTAAAGTGACAATGATGGCTTTGGAATCCATCACTTTAGACAGATGGTACATTTGGTCAGTGTTGGTCCTCAGATCTGGTTGGTTTCACTATGACTTTATTTATATATTTGAATAAAAGGAGATTGTCCAGCTAGGACTTTAAGCCTTCCAGCTGGGATAAGGCTCTGTGCAGGAACTCCTCTGCTCAGGGTGAAACTCATGGGCCAAGAGGTCTCCTTTCTGAGAGCTCTGCCTTTGTCCTTGGCCACGTGCTGCTGAATCCAGCCAGAGCCCAATCAGTCCCATGGTGAGAGGTGGCTTCCTTGCCAGAAGCTTAGGTGCAGGTGTGCACACAGGGAGCTGCAGCTGCCCCAAAAAACCATGGATTTGTGTGCTTTAGGAGCCCAGAGCCACGGGGAGCAAACAGAGGTCTTTGTGCTCCAAAATGCTGGCTTGCAAACAGTGCTCATCTTCATCTGTGAGCTGATGAATTTACCCACTGCTGGGAGTCAGCAGGCTCTGAAGTGCCTTATGATTGCTCTTCCAAAAGCACAACTGAGCCCTGTCCAGTGCTGGAAGGCAGCTGGCCATTCCGTGGGACAGAGAGGGCTAGAAGCAGAATGGCTGAGAAGAAACAGCGCTGGTGATCTTCTGCTCCATTCCACAATAAAAATTGTATTTTATTTATATTGCAAAACTGTCTAAATAGTGAGTGACATGGATGAAGTCCACTCAGCCTTTGCACTGGCTTAGTCCTGTGACGGAGGGGAAATTTTGTGCAGGAAGACCATCTGTAGGTCCTGGTTTGCTATGAGTGCTCTCAAAATGCTCATGCACCTGGTGAGCCAATCCCCAGCAGTATTTTGGAGGTGAAAGGCTTCTGGGAGAAGAAAGAGAGACATGTATTTAGCCTTGTTTATATCACGTGCTTCTCCTCATGCCTGAGGAAAGCCAATGTGTGCCCAGCATAACAGTTCATGGAGTCAGCAGTCCTGTTTCAATGTTTGGCAGCAACTACCAGCCTCAGGGCATTCAGCAAATTCTGGGCTGTGAGAAACTTTGCAGACCTTAGATCAGAATTGACTTTCCATTCCTCTGCCACTGATGTGAGCAGGAAGCCTGAAGTGGAATGCTTCTGGAAGTGTTTATGCCCATGGGAATCAGGCAGCAGCTCAGTCAGGCATGGATTGATTTTCTTTTCCAAAATTTTCTCTCTTCCCCCCTTTTCCAGACAGTATAAAGTCCACATCTATCTTGATGATAGGATCATTTTAGTAGCTAGTGGGCCATGGGAAAGGTCGATGCCCTCTTGGTTCTTGTCATTTAGCTGTGCTTGTAGGTATTGCTGCTACACAATTATTACTATTTATTATGCCAGTATTTTCTCCTTCGCTTTTATTAAATGGTGTTTTCTGTTTGCAGTTTGCTGAATGGTTTGTTGGCCTTGGTTTTGTTCATATAATAACTCCTGCTTTCCTGCCAGCTCCAGCTTCTGTGCCCGGGGTAATGACTTTTGGCAGTTGAAAAGGTGTCCATTAGATTACAGGATATCTCAGGCTAAATTTCCTGCATGTGCAATCCAACAGTCTGTTCCATGCTGCAGATCAGTTTTCCAATTCTGTCCATTTTCATCAGAGAAGAGATGGACCTATGCTCAGCTTTAATATATCTGGGTTTTCACCCTCTATATATTAGGACTATTTCCATGTGTGCTGGAGTTTTGTAGGAAACCTAAATGCTGATTTGGAAAGAAGCAGTCTACATGCAGGAGACTTAATGAAGCTTTATGTCCCATAGTGTTTGTTCTCCCAGCTGAATTCCCTGGGCAGTGTGAAACCCCTGTGTAGATCCACAAATGTTTAAAAGAAATTTTAATTATTTTTTTAAGTGTGACTTTTTACTTATGGGTATTCCAGGATGGGCAGGATAAAAAGCAATCCATGCTTATGGAGAAGGCATGGAGTAGATTTTGGTCGCCACAAGTGTGCACTGGATTAAAATCTGCAGCTGAAAACAGGAAGAATTTACATCTCTGAAACTGGTGCCTGTGTGTACTGCAGTGTTATGTCCCTGCAGTATTTCTGTCCTGGTACCAAGAACCATACAACCAGAGGCATCATTATTCTAAAATCCTGTAATGTGCCCCATTATTTTGTTTTCAACACCTCTGTACTCTGAGATGGACGCAGCCACTTGCTGTAACACGCTGGTTTTGCATCGGTAGTAAATGGGGACGAGTTGTTCAGATGGAAGGAGCATCACCAGCTCCCCTTGCTTGTGGGGGCCTGAATACATGTATTGTTATAACAGCAATAAGAATACAAAACTGAAATGTAGTGAGTCCTATGTATTAGATAAGTGGGTCCTAGCTATTCTAAATGAGTCACAGCTGCCAAGTCCTTAGATGGGCAGCAGCTGTGGCTCGTAAAGATAGCTGGGATAACAGGGGTAGGTCAGGATAGCTGGGATAACAGGGGTGGGTCAGGATAGCTGGGATAACAGGGGTGGGTCAGGAGCCCAGGAGGAGCCCCTGAGAAGCCATGAAGAACTGTGCTACAGAGAACAGCAATGTGGCAGAGAACCAGCGAGAAGGTATGGACTGTTTAAGAATATAATAACAACAAGATAACAACACTTGCTCACCCTGGCAGACCCAGCCTGCCTTCCCACAGAGCAGTGATGTTATGGCTCCCTCCAAGAGCCTGCAGCACTCCTGATCCATCCTCTCCATCTCTGCCTGCTCTCCCCGTCGCTGACTGAAGCCTGGTTTTTAGTGATTCTGCTGTTCCCAGAACTCAGCAGGCTGAAGGGGGTGGAAGGGAGATAAACACAAGGGTTCAACATCCAGACAAACACAGCAGAGCACACGCAGTAAA